GGGCTCGGGGCACGCGGGGAAGGCTTGGCCCCTGGTGGCGATGTCCCACGTGGAGCCGTGCTGTCACTGCATGGGGGAGGTGGACGGGGACCAGGCGTCGAGGTCTCTGCTGGCAGCCGCTTGCCCTGGAGCCAAGCGAGGAGCGTTGCCTGTGGTGCATCCTCCGGCAGCGCCGGACATCGCAATGGGGCTGTGGGGAAAGCAAAGCAAATCGGGATGTATCTGGTGAAACCCGCTTTGCTCCTGGCTTTGGGTGGATGGGGAGTGTCCCAGCCTGGGCCAGCGGCGTGGGACCCGTCCCACGACACCCGTGGGCAAGTTGAGGATGGCAGGGACAAAGGCTGCCTTGCCAAGCGGCGCAGAGGGCTGCTGTCGCGGTTCGAGGGTGGCAGGTCCCACTCAGCTGAGCAGCCAAACTAAACCGCAGGGACCATGCCCAAATTTATGGGCTGGTTGGCATGGTGTGGTCACCCATGCTGGGCCAGGCTGCCACCGTCCCCCCCCCGGCCCCGGCTGGAGGAGCATCTCAGAGCAAGACTTGTGCCACTCAGGGCATGAGCATCCTTGTGAGGGTCTCGTCCTGCAGGCAGGAGTGCAGGCAGGGCAGAAGTGCCCGGCAGGGCTGGACGCTGCTGCCAGCGCTCTCTTGGCACCACCAGGCACGTCTGTGTCCCCTTGTCCTTGCAGCAGCCGTTATCTGCAGTGAGAGCTCCCTGCACCAGCGACCCTGCGAACGCCTCCCCAGGCCTGGAGCCGGCCGAAACCCGGCTCATTTATATCTTGTGCAGAGGGTTTTATTAATTGGTTTTCCTTTTCCCTCCCCTTCCACTGACTGGGGACAAGCCACCTCCAAGCTACCTGCTGTCACCGACCCCCATTGTCACCGCATCCCTGGGTGACGGGGATGAGGATGGGCACAGGGCAGGTGGGAGATGATGGTACCCTGCAGCTCCCACCACCTCTGCCGGGCTCGTGGACATGGCCGGTGGTGCCGCCTGGCCGCCGG